GAGGCGGCACCAAAAAATTGAGGCGGGCGGCCATGTAAAACAATTTATTAATTTTAAGTGGCCTTAGCAGCTTTCAGCTTCGTTTTTGAACTTAAATTTTTTAATATTGTCTCAAAAATACAATACATAACAAAATAAATATCCGTTATAGTGCAGCATTTAAAAAAACACATGTGCTGTACCTGTATTCACATTAACAATTTTCAGCTTCATATTAGGACCAGAGCATGTGAGCGGAGTGGAGCGGGGAGAATTTCCGCTCCTCGTTCAAGAGGCTGTTGGCTCCGCCCGCTCCTCCGCTCTAATTCGCACTAAGCCGCTCCGCTCAACACCGCTCCTCGCTCCACTAAAATTTCCTCCCGCTCCAGTCAAATCGCTCCATGCTTGCTCCTGTTTTAAAGAGGGACAAATAATCTGCATGCCTAACAAATATCACCTTAAACCGATGCCTTATATCATAAAGAAATGTGATCAACGGCACTCAGAACAGAAAATATTTATTTTTAAACAACATATAGGCAACGATGGACGGGTTTGGCAATGGCATTCCACACAAAATAGGCTTAAAAATAAAGGAATCAGTGGGCTTAATAGCCTAAAGAATATACAGGCTAAGCGCATCCACGTTTTAAATTCCTCAGTTATTTTCTGTTGATGCTGCTGCTGCGTCTCTCTCTATAAAATAAAGTTTCACTGACAGCGTTACGTGAATTTTAAAAATCCTATTAGACCTAATTTGAATGACAAACTAATTTATTTGATTACCAAATTATAGGCTTTTATACTTTTATTTACTTTATAGACTTGATATGCTACAAGCATATAAAACTTGCTCACGTTTTTCTCTGGCCTCCGCGTGTTCGCTTAGCACACTCATGTTTCCGAGAAAGGTCTTTTTAGATTCCAAAGCGGATCTAAATCTTGATAATTGTATAGATGAATGCTGGGAAGATTTGCGCACGCCTCAGAGTCGTAGTGTGAGCGGTATCGGAGCGAGACAGAGCGACAGCTCCAGCCTTAATTAAAAAACCGCTCCGCGTTCTGACCAAATTTCGCCCGCTCACGCTCCGCTCCACTCCGTTCACATGCTCTGATTAGGACATACATGCGCATGCGTACAAATACTTGTATGCTTACATTCCTACATACTGTACAGTCTCTTCATTTAGCACGTCATTGCAGACAGACTAAATTGTCATGACTTTGCAACCTGCAGTGTATAAAAGGTGCTGTTTTTCAAACACATTTTAATTAAAAATACAGTAAACTTATCTTGTTTTTATTTTTTTCCCACTTAGAATTCCATTTTTTTAACTGCATCTCCCTCAGTTTCTTGGCACTGTGCAGTGGGACCTGAGAAAACGCAATTAATTTCTTTACGTTGCACAGTGTGTTAGTTTATAGGAATGACAATAAGTCCTTTGAAATTTGAATTGAATTATAAGTATCTGACACCAATGGATATTCATGTATGTGGACTGGTTTGTACAAATATTATTTTATTACAGTTTTTATTTGTTCAGAAATTACCACAAATCTACATTGCAGTAATCCATTCACTCCTTTTCTCTAGTTTTTGGCAGTCTTGTACAAAGACAGCTGTGATTTATTGTTAAATGGATTTGTACAATTGCATAATTCCTCTTTTCTATTTTAGATATGTTGCAGCAGCATCTAAGCTGAACGCTAACGCTGCCTCTCAGATATAACACAGTGACTTCCTCCTACTTTGATATAATACCCTCTCTTGTATTCCAGAGGCAGGCTATTTGCATACAGTCGTCACTAAACACATTTGCAAGTCCCACCCCAAAGTATCGACATACTATAAAAGTACCCAGCTGTTTTGGTACTTTGGGTACTGGAACTTTTGGTACTGGTACCTGACTGGAACTGTCTTTCCGGCTTTCCAAACCACTTATTTTTGGCTGCCCCGATTCCCATTTCCATGCTGTATTTGCCCTTTTTACAGAGGTCTTTGTCTACACTCCTGTAAGCCAATTCTTTCTCACGGTGCAGTTGTTCAGCACTGAACTAGGGCTTGTTGTTACTATATTGTACTATGGTCTTTTTGGGGATGCTGGCATTTTCACAGAAATTAATAAATGTTCACTGGAGTTGGTGGTTGCATCTTTAAATGCACTCCAATTTAGTATCAAAGCAGCTCTTCAGCTCCTTTGTAGCTTCAGTTGTCCACCGTTTAATCTTGGTCACAACAGGTTTTGCAGATTTTAGTCTTCGCCTTTATGCTGGGATGAGGTGAATCATGGCCTGAGCAGAATGACCTAGATCCACCCAGGGAGGGGGCATGATACGCGTCCTTAATCATCATGTAACAATGGTCGAGAATTTCTCCCTCCCTCGTAGGACAATAAATATGCTGCAAATAGTTCATTTTGCAAGTTTGCATAGTTAAAGTCCCCTACAACAATGAGTAAATAATCTGGGTTTTTCATTCCTGCTACGGTGAACTGTTCAGGGAGTTCCTGGAGTGTATCGTGTGCATGTGGTGGTAAATATACATCAACCGAAATGAACGAGTAAAACTCATGCATGGAAAATGCAGTTTAAAAAGAATTTTGTCCTGATAAGTAGGCGTAGCTTGTCAGTTTATCGCACAAAGATCTCAGATTTGCAAAGATAATTCCCGGTAGCAGTGACTGTAGTGCTCTATTTTCTGAAAGCACACTTGAACACCCGCTTGCTTACCACGTTTCCTTCTTTTTGGTACCTGTGACAGGGCTGCCGTGCTGCTGACTAAAATCCCCAAAGAACTGAGAATTGAAGACATTTCTATAAAAACTTCTTGTAGAATAATGTCCTGCATGTTGAGCAAGTTGTCTCCCTATGTCATCACTGCAAGTGTAGGATGTATGTTTACAGATGCAAGTGACCTTGCAAACTGGTAGAAAGTAGTACGACACAAAGGGGTTTCTCAAAACTTTTCTCTCATGCGTCATTCAGCCCGTATCTCAGTGAGACTCAAGGTCGAGGAATCGCACACTAGGATACTTTGTTTATAGAAGAGAATTGCAATATTTGCTCAAACAGGCCCTTCACACACTTCTGGTATCTGGGTCCCAGAAGTATTCTCTGGGACCTGTTCATAATGAACCAAAACAATCTTTTAAATTAGTATGTATGTATCACAAAATGAATGATCAGTATAAATTTAAAAATCATAATTGATTGGTCACAACACTGCACTATATATATTGATTTCACTACACTTTGAACTGAAAATAACTATGTAGCAAATAAAATTTTATTCTTTATTTGAATTGATTGGTCTAAGCTATATTTTTCCCCTGCTGAGGACACCTGTGTTTACATGGTGATTCCACGTTGACAACATATCTCCTGCTTTTTGTTTCCTAGGAAAGTGAAGAGAGGAAAAACAAAGGAAATACATTTTTTCAGAAAGGGGACATGAGTGCAGCTGTGGAATGGTACACTAAGGCCATCGAGTTTAAGTAAGTTGCCTGTTTGTTTGGTCCTGTTGGAAATTCTCAGTTTGTGTTCGTCACTTGATAATGTCTACAACTCTTAAGTACGCTTAAGATAAGTTTCTAGGGCTGTGGCCCTAGAAGTTTTTATCGCCACCGAACCTGCATGCGATTGGCTGCTGTCAGGCTGCGAACTGTGTGTGCCGCCGTCCGCTGTCTGTAACAGCTGCATTAAGCACGTTTAACACCTTTGTTGGAAGTTGCGTGGTGGTGTGGGCCGTGACGCATGCAACGTACAGAGGTTGCAGCGACCCAGAGTTATTTTAAAAATCGTACTGCAAGGTAATCTTCATGAATTACTTTTCTGATGGATTTGTGCTTTATTTTGCAGCCCAGAAAACCACATTCTCTATGGGAATAGAGCACTTTGTTTTTTACGCTCTAAAGAATATTTGTAAGTAACATTTCACAATTTCAATATATTTAAGTGGCCCTCGCTTGCTTTTACTTGCTTTGTCTAAGGTGTCCGTATGGGCTTTGAAAATTGGGTTTTACAGTATAAATGTGTATTTTCAGGAAAGCAGCTAGCGATGGGAAGCGCGCTGTCGTCATCAGGCCGAACTGGCCAAAGGTAAACAGAATTGGCGACTTCCAAGGGAATTCTAACATTCATTCAAAAAACAATTACTAATTCATGTACAGTAATTAAGCCAGAGTTTCAGTCAAAATTCCGATAATATACTAAACGTTTAAATAATTGTGTAACTGCTCTTTTCTCCTTTGTCATTCTCCTTATTTGTTGAATATCCATTAATTTCCCGTGACTGTTCTACAATGTCACAAAATGTGTGTTTTTAATGAGTATTCTAGGTAATGTTTGATCTGCTGTGGTGATATTATGCTTTCCACCAATGACATAAACATGTATTGTGCTGTAACCAATCAGCAGAGAGAGAGCCTTGCATGATCAGCAGGTGTTCTCTACAAGTATGAGATTGTTTATAGGTTCAAGTAACCTCCTTAGCTGGTCCAAACTGGTGAAGAACAAAGGGGTTTTTCTAAACCTTTTCTTACACTTAATTCAGCCCATATTGTAACAAGAAGTAGAGTCGAAGAATCGTTCACTGGGATACTTTGCTTACAGAAGAGGGTTGCAATATTTGCTTGTATAAGCCTTTCACACAGTTCTGGTATCTGGGTGCAAGAAGCCCTTTAATAACTATGGCTTGTTTATAGTGAATACGTAATATTGAATAATTTGTTGAACACAAACTCAATTTCTGTTTTTTCCTAATAATAATCGCAGTGTGTAAATGATCGATAAATATGCCCAAATCATAACTGATTATTCACTACACTGCACTTTACATATTGGTTTCACTACACATTGTACTGAGTAGAATTCGATATTTGAGTCGATTACTCCGAAATGGATACATGTTCATTTGCAGAGGTTGCCAGAGTTTCTATGGTGTCCCCCACCTCCCCTTGCTCTCATCGAGTGCCTCTCACCAAACAGGGCCACTACCGCTTCTGTGATGCCCTCTTCGCCCTCGGCGAGCACCAGAAGGCTCTGCAGGCCAACCTGAGGGCCATCTTCCTGTGCAGCGAGGATCCGGAGGGCATTCGTGACCTGGAGCAGCAGAAGTGCCGCTTCCAGATAGACCTGGCCATGATGGAGGAGCTCCGAGGTACACGCCTTCGAGGGAGTCCAAGCCTTCTGTTGATACTTGAGGTGTTCCTTGTGCTGGAAGGAATGTAATAAAAAATAGCTATAAACATTTATGTTTATAGCCGCTGCCATAGCAACCCCTCAGTATTCCTCAGACTGAGAGCTTCAGGTGTTCTTTGTGTTCATACACCGAATAACACTAATAAAGTGTAAAACGGCAGTGGGAACTGAGGCCTCGAGGTGATTTAAATATAGGACCAATGTTATCTTAAAGGAAAATGGATACTAGATTAAAAAAAATAATAATAATTTGTGAACTGAAGTTAAAATGAAAACTATATTTACCAAACGTCCCAGACTTTAATATGCAAAAACTGCTGGCGTCCATTATCTAAAGCTCTGCAATGACATAGTTTGTTGTTGTCAAGAAATTAATTTAAACAGTCAGTTTGATTTTCTGTAGGAAAATCGTGTAGATTAATCGACCAATTGGTCAATTTGATTTTCTGTAGGAAAATTAATCGTGTAGATTAATCGACCAATTGATAAAATAGTCTATAGGTTAATCAGTAGAAAAATAATTGTTAGTGGCAGCCCTAGTATTCCCTTTTAAATAGAATTAATCCACACCCGTTTGTGCTACCACAGTCTCTTGTGGTCTATTGTTGCATTGATGATTAGTTTCAGTTTTGCTTGGATCTGTTGTATGTAAAAGTGACAGAAGAAAGAGCTTCACTGTATTTGCTTTATCAGATTGATTTGAATTGCTTTTTGTTCCCCATCAGCTGCTGGTAAGCGGAAGAAAATGAAACCAAAAAGAGATGGTAGCAGGAGGTAATGTTGGCTTTTCCCGGCCCTGAGCTGTCTGCCTGCTCAATGCATGAAGGCGTTAATGAACCGTGAAACGTTAATACAGACCGTAGGCATCACCTCCTGTTATTTGTCTCATTTTTATAGAACCGATTCCCAGGTTAAAGTAGATCTACATGATACAGACCCCCCTAATAAACCAGAACCTCACATAAACTCCAGTGCCTCAAAAAACCAGGTAAGAAGAATTACAGTGTTTATGCTATAACTATAGTAAAGCAGCAGGTGCTCAGCAGAATTCTAGTAGTACATGAAAATTCTATGTTTAAAATTAAATGATGTGACTAAAAGTACTGAAATGTAAATGGAGTCGTTGCTCATTACTTTTGTTCTGTGTGAAAATATTAAAGGACAAATGCAGCCTATTCCCCTAATATTCTGTTTATGATCTAACATTATCTGACCTTTCGGTGGCGCACTGAATTGGTGATATTAGGTACAGTGATAGATAAAACTTGATAGTTCTTTCACACTGTGTCAGAGCAGCAACACTAAACTAGTATAACTACCCAGACCACGCACGTTCATTGGCACGATTTTTCCGTAATGCTTGAAAATCCGTCGGCAAAGCATATCTGTCACAGAAACATCGCTACTGAATGTTGATTCGACATTCTCCCAATGTCTGTGTGATGTATTTCAGCAGCGCACAATATCATTGAGATCACTATGCAATATTTAGCCTACTGTTATTTTTCCCGATTAGGCTGTATCACCCACAATAGGTTTGTTCTAAGCCTTATATGGGTCATTCCATGACAAATCATCACACTTTCGGACCACATCATCATGCATTTTAACGAAACATGGCATGCTGATTTGGTCACATGAGTAACTCATGATACTGAAATTGGGTGTCTCTTGGATCAATATTGAGGGAGATTTAAGCGAACAAAGTTTTAAGTTTTTTGGGGTGGGGGGTCTATGACTTTGACTGGCTATATTTACCTTAATATAAGCTACACAGAAATGGAATATTACTGGAATCTTTTTCGTGCGACTTTAACAAGGAACCTATCCAATGATGGCTGATTTTGCCTCCTTTTCGATTTTGCGGAAATGTGGACATTGTCATTAAATAGATTCATTGCTCGCACTGCTACACCCTTATTCTGGTGGTTTTCTGCTAAATTTTGACACTACGAGTGAGGCTCACCGACTGAGACCAAGCATGGGAGACGATTACCCACAATCCCGCAGCGTGAGAGAGAGAAGAACCATCGGCTCAGTCTTGATTACATGACACTCGGCAGACATAGCATATACGTAATCGTATTGCAAGACCTCGCTCGTTTATCAAGTTAAAATGTATACAATTTTTGCTTGTCTTGCAAACCAAGTTACTCGCAATCCGAGGTTTGACTGTAATTGAATTACTTTTGAATGAAGGTAACTAGTAACTCAAATTTTGCGTAACTTGCACAGCACTCATTAACAATGTAAATTTTTGCTCTTGTATGTCTGCTGATTTGAATGATTTTGAATCACATGTGCTTACATCACTGTCTTTACGATAAGGAGTCGGAAGAGAGTGCCTGCGGGAATTCTGACTCCGGTATGTTCTCCTTTTTTTCCTCTTCCTACGTGCTAAATGGGGATGGGGGGGGGGGATGTTAGCGGTTCCCTGAAAGAGCACTCAAAGAAATGATAAACATATTTAATGCTGAATTATTCCGTTAAGAGTGGGGCTTGTTTAGATGCGCTGACTAAAGTGACTTGTTAGCGTTTTTGGTAACACTTTACTTGAAGGGGCACAAGTAAGTTAGTAACTCAGTCACTCCTAAAATACGTCATGAATAAATATACTAACTGCATGAAATACATAAACTGTTATCGGTATGTATGTAACACTTCCTTTCTGGTTAATGTATTAAGTAAGAGTGTACTACTACATTATTTGTGCCCCATCAAGTAAAGTGTTACTGCTTTTTAGTGCTTTTTAATTCTGCTGTCTTTAACATCACCGAAGGCTTGGGGCCTCTTGGTTATAAGTAGGGCTGCTTTGGATTTTGGGAGAGGGCAAGCCCCCCCTCGCTTCCACCCTGCCTCAGTACCTTTAGTAGTCTTCACTGGCAAAAAAAAAACCCCACCTGTCTAAAATATGTTACACATTCACAACATCACATTGGTGATGTTTGCAAAAACCTTCTGCACAGAATAGCAGGAAAATGATGCCATCAGATGCGTATGCGTGTCAGATGTGACCTCTTAAGGTGCTTTCCGCAGACTATTTGAGCCTCTTCCTTGATCTGACGTCCGCACCTGCCGCGGCACATTTCAGACGAGCCTTAGTGGGTGTGGCTTGTTGTGTTCACTTCGGGAATGTGAAACTAATTCTAGAATCGTCGTCTTGGTTAAGGAACTGAAGGTTACGCCACCGTTTTCTCTGGCAGGTGAAGCTGGTACTGACATGCAAACGGATGACTGCGCCGAAACAGGTGCCAAAAAGTAAGTTTGTATTTCACATTTCTGCTGGGATTTCCTTATTTAATATCTTCTGAAAACCACCCTCAGAGAATGAAATGTGCTTCGACTGAGACACATACCAAGTCTCTTAATATCAAGGTTCAAAGAATACCACTCATATTTTGGAGCAAAGACTGAAGTGCAGTTTGGCGTGGGCTGTGTTTGTGTCGGTTTAATGTTTGATTTGGAACATGATTCTGTGATCATTGTGCCCTTTGAAATTGTTTCCGCTGCCTTTTCTGTACGGCACTGTGAAGCGATGGTTGGTACTTTGTTGAATATTTATGAAAATTTTTAAGTTGTTGTTGCTTAGTCAGATTCCTTTTCCCTCATGCTGTTCTGGACATAATTCATATTAAAGTAAGACCTTAAATTGACATAATGCTTTTAATTAGCATTTTCACTAAGACAAGATATACTCTACTGATCTCAAGAAGAATTTTTTTTGCAGTTAGGACAACAGTTTGAAGTCTTCACTGGAAGCTCCTTGTTGCCACTACAGTCACTAACCATTCAGTACTACTTCTATGTGAATCCTAGAAATGGTTTAAATTTACTGTAATTGATGTGTTTGTGTTTAATATTGAAATGTTTTTAATATTTAAGTACCGTATTTTCCGCACTATAAGGCGCACTAAAAAGCCTTTGATTTTTAAAAAAAATAACAGTGCGCCTTATAATCCAGTGCGCTTTAAAACGTGGATTAATTTCTGTTGTGCATACTGAACTCGAAGCGATTTGAACGTTTTAGTATTGAAAAGTGAGTGTATTGTGTAGTGCTTCACGTGTTATAAATTAACAATTTCAAGAGTTATTATGAATACGCAAACTTTTGATTTAGCGGTATAGGACCGTATTAAAAGTGTTCAATTTTGAGTTATTGTTAATAGGCTGACTTTTGATTTAGGGGTATAAGACTCTTGTTTTTTTACGTGTTAAACAGTAGTGAAGACGCTCATAAACATTTGAACAATGTTGACAGTCATTGTGAACACGTGATGTAAAATAAATTTTCGTTGACTGGCTTATCTGACTCTTTTGTTTTGCTTAAAGCGCCTTAAAGTCCGGTGCGCCTTGTATGTGGAAAAAGTTTGAAAATAGACCACTGATTGACGGTGCGCCTTATAATGCAGTGCGCGTTATAGTGCGGAAAATACGGTATTGTATTAGTTGTTAGTCATCATACTCAAACCTTTGGTCTGTAAAATGATTCAGAAGTTTCCTAACACCTCCCTCCCAATAACAATACATTGTATTTGGAGATTATTTGGTGTTGTAATGGCAGAGGCTCACCTCTAGATGGCTGCATTTGGTTGTGTATTTATACCTAGAGATGGTTGCGAATACAGTTTCAGATATGACTGTCTCAGCAGCAGCGCGTTTGCTTGGCTGGAGTTTCGAAGTCATTTTACCAACCTTTTCAGCCTGTACAGTGAGTCCTGAAACCTTGAAGTTCATATGTATGTTTGTTTGGGCAGGCTAACCTCATGCAGTTAGATGTCATCAGTTTCTAGGTAGACCGTATTTAGTTAAGTTCCAAGCGTGCTTTTTAATTCGGCAGTTTCCTGTCCGTCGTCGACACGTTCCTTTTTCCTCTTGCTTCTGTTTTCTATTGGGAAATGACCTTACGGAAACTAAAGCAGTTGAAGCACTTGGCGCATGTTGAAAGCTGGTGGCCTGGTTTTTTTTTTGGCTGTTAAAGCAGGCTTTTCAGTTACAGTGCACTTTAGCTTGTGTGACGCAAGAACGTGACTCCAGTATAAAAATATGATTTCCTGATTTATATAAATGCATTTACTTAAGGGATTTGAAGTCATTTGCTAAGCGGATTTCACTTTCACCACAGCAGAACCTGTTTTAAGTAGTTTAAAAAAAAAAAAAATTATTCTGTTCTTTTGTAGAGAAACGACTGAGAAGATGCACAAAAAAGAGCCTCACATTCAGGACAAAACAAAACCCAAAAACCGACACCAAGGGACGCACAAAAAGGTATCTATTTTTCAATTTTATTTTATTTTTAGTTTTTACTGTTTCTTTTTGATAAATTGTGTGTCATTATTTTAGACTAACTTGATAAAATGTTGTGGAAGTAGGATGTCGGACATGAAAGATACTAAAGATTTTTGGTGATTTAGATGTTTTTTGTTGTTGTTGTTTGTTGTTAAATTCAAGTTGAAAACAGACAGTAACATCTGCTGTTCTTGATACCTTGTGTGTGCATTTGAAGACCAAGGCAGAAGCTTCGTCTGGAGACCTGGTGGGCCAGTTTAAGTCAGTGGTTCACGATGCCCATTCAGCCCTGTCGGACCAGCGCTGTCACAACGCGGAGGTGGCCTTCTCGCAGGCCCTGAGTTTAGCAGAGACGGCACCTTCTCCGGTACGACGTCCCCCCAATCCGTGGCGTATCTGAGAAGGAGCACGTTGATGTTTCCTTGGCTGAGCTGCTACGAGATGATTGAGGTTTGGCAGGATGGCTGATGGTAGAATAACGTACATTCATCCGCCTTTGTTAGCGGTAATGAAGCATGCAAGGGTTTATTGGCAGGGATGGAGGAGAAGGGCTTTAACAGAGGCTGCAGGGAAGAAAGAAGGGCAAAGAGAACAGCTTTGGCATAACTGCAAGGGGAAATTAAACAAGGAAAGGAAATGAGCAAATGGGCATTGAGTCACAGAAAGTGCAGTGGGGCAGTCAGACAGGTCTAGGTGGGTTTATCAGCTGTTATCTCAGCAGTATCTCGGGCTGTTACGCTCAGCAGTATGGTCCAGGTGAGAGGAGAATGAGTTTAAATGAGCTTATCGCTCTTGGGTGTCTTACAAATCACAACAAAAGCTTAAGAATACTTAGGTTTCTGAAAAGTATTATTATTATTATTGGTGTGTTGCTAACGAATCCTATCCTTACCTTTGCAGCAGTGAGAGACCCCTGTCAATGTTTTATATCCTGGGGGTGCTGTCATGGTTGTTTTGTAACATACTGTAAATGCTGTGAATAATGCCCTATCAAGGTACCCAGTTAGGGAAAAGGAAACCTATCTATCACGATCGTGGTAATGCATAAGAATTCAAAAGAGGCAACGAAAATGCGTTTCCTGCATGAGTAATTGCGGGCAGCCACATAGATGTCATGCGTTACGGCGACTAGCTGAAAATGCTGGTCACTTTATTAATGGTGTGTACTCTAAATGCTGTAAGTGTTGTGTATCACTTTCATTTATTGCTTTATTACTGTGTAGTTAAAGCTCAGGGTGCATTTTGAATAGTGAAACGTGATAGATGAGTATATTTGTATATATGCATGTATGCAGCATATATGGATTTTCCTAGCAGTTAACTTGCACTGAGACGTTATTTCATGAATGCCTTCTGTCATTTTGTAACCAATATTCAAACATTCGTTCAAATATGATGTGAAAAAATCACATTTGAACTGTAATTAACCCATTCAAATTTTCAAGTGTCACTGTAGCCTAAAAGCGCATTAGACCACTTGTTGAATGTTGTTGTTTGCTGTCTGCAGAGCCCCTAAAACGTCAGGTTGGGAAAATATTTCTTGAAATAGTTTTGCAATCCCACTACACTTGCCCACTTGCTCTTTGCTGCAATGTGAAGGCAAGGATAAGCCTAAATAATACAGAAATGTCCTGTAAAAACCAGGGGTGGGGAACCTGTTCCATGGAGTGGCAGTGCGGGTTTTTGGGATGGCCTCTCTCTCAGCCAGTAATAAAGCAGTGGTTCTCAACTCCAGTCCTGGGGACCCACTGTTACTGGCTGATTGAGAGACCATCCCAAAAACCCACTTCCACCCTCCATGGAACAGGTTCCCCACCCCGCCTTTAAGCACTAAACTATGGGGGACAATGTACACAATGTAACTTTTAATATTATGTGTGTTTATACATATTCATTAATAATTGCACTGTGTCCATTTCGCACAAGTGACTCCACAGTTGGGGTATTGGTTATTCAGATATATTTGAATGAATTGCATGACATTTGAAATTTATTCAAACTTGATTTTTGAAATAGACAGCCCTGATGCCTTCTAATGCTGTTTTACCTCCCATGTTTAGGAGCTGGACATCTTAGATCTTGACAAACTGATATTGATCTATGGCCACGCTACCGCCCTCCTCGAAATTGGACAACCAGAAGTGAATTTCTATCTATTTATTTATTTATTTATTTATTTTAGTGAACAAACCAACTATGGGTGGAAGGAAAAGAACATTTGTGCTAATTATCTTTTTTTTTTTATACCAGGAATTGGCTCAAGCTAAAAAGCAATTCAACAAGATTAAGGATGTTGCAGGAAGGGAATTTCAGTGTTTGGTATACTATGGAATGGGAAAAGTGCTATTTAAAGAGAACAGGTACGAACATCCTCAAAAACATATAAATTAATACATTTCATATACAGAACGAATAATTTGCTTCCAGAACATTTCTTAAATTGTATTCTTTTGGACAGGTTTTCCGAAGCTTTACATGAGTTTAATAAAGCCTTACTCATGGTTAAACGACAGATCGTACCAGGGAAATTAACCTGGCCCAAAACAACGATTACAGTCCAGGAAACCCATACGGATTATTTAAAGGTAACTCAGTATTTCAGATGTTAGTGTTGTTCTTCCCTGAAACTGAGATGAATAGGAATGGTAGCAAAACTTTTGAAGTGCTTTTCACCATGTTACTTATTCCTGAATTATAATTTCATTACTATTTTTCTTTTATAGGATCGTACGGAGGAGTATATAGAGATGTGCAAGTTTCCTCCAAGGCCAGATGCAATTTGTCGACATCAGACATGTTTGGTTATTTCAAAAATTGAGATCTACTTCACAGACCCAGACTTTAAGGTATGGCATTAACGTGCAAACTCTGATAAGCTCATACAGTTTGTAGATGGATTCCTGACCCCTTGCGTGCATTTTGCATTTTTAGTCAAAGTTGTCTCTCTCTCTTACATTCATAAAAGGAATACTCACTGTGACATGTTCATTAAAACTGAATTAGGTAATCTCCCATTGCATCACAAACTGTTTGCAAGGCACGGTAAATGTGATATGGACCTTGGAGGCCCGTAAAGTGTGGAAAAGAGGCTCCTAATTCATGTGCGCCTCTCTGTTTTCAGGGGTTCATCAGACTTGTATGCTGTCAAAGCTGCAATGTAGAGTTTCACATTAGCTGCTGGAAGAAACTGAAAGCCACTTCATTCAGTGACAAGACCGATAAGGTGCAGCACAGTTCGCCCCTGAAAACACCTTCGCTTTTTGTCAGCCACTTGAAACTTTGTAATGTAGGGTGCTAGTAATAGCATAGGTTTTTTTTTTAAATTATTGATAGCTACTCATGTGATGTATGTAAACAATTTAGAAAGTTAAGGTTTGTGACTTATAATTTCTTGCTATCTGTCCATGTAATAATGTGGCAAGTGTTTTAATGGGAATTAACCATTCTAAGTGCGAATTGCAAATTAATGAGAGTAGGGTGGTTTGTTACTGTTTGTTGAAATGTCTGAGAATCACAGCTAAATTTTAGCATCCCAAAGCACTGGGTCTCTCTAAAGTTACTGATTTTTTTTTCCCTACAGGAATTCCTCCAGCTACCATGTTTCACTCCAGATTGTGCCGGAAACATCTGCCAGATTGTGATTTTTGGTGCAACCGGTCTGGTGAAATGCGAGGTGTGGATTACTAGCCGATTGTTTCGGACATGGATTCCTGCTGCAGTTGGTTTGGCTCTTACAGGATAGACTGACTTATGTCAGAGTGAATTTAAATTAGCAAAAATGTTTGTCTGCAGTGAAAGACCAAAGACAAACCTTTAAGTGTTGTAGTGATGTGCAGTTTGTTTTGGATTCTGCGGTATTTGAACTGGAGCTAGCTGTTTAATAAAAATTTTGTTACAAATTTGAATCTTTAGCAGCAGAATTAACTTATGGCATATTTATACACATTTACTCCTTTTTTACATTCAGCCATGAAAATAACTTTAATCCCCTTTTCCTCCAGTTTGAGTCTTCTGTTGCGAAAAGCACAGCTCACATGAAACAGAAGGTCAAACATAAGTGTACGAGGTGAGATTCAATGCCAGGTTTGGCACCACAGTTCACTTTGCATTATAACATACTGTAGTCTAAACACTGGTTGCTTCAATCTTGCTAGGCAACCATTTCAGCTGGATACAAGGTCATGTCTATATTGTTAGTGTTTGTACTGTGCTTGTATCACTCAGGAATGTGCAGTATCTGTTTCCTCATTGTAAATGTGTCCATCTCAGCCTCAAGAAGTTAAAATTGAAGGAGGAGCGAAAGCTGAGGAGAAAACAGCACAGACAGGCAGAGTTTCTGGCTAAACAGAGATCCAATGAAGAGACATCCTCACAAGAGGACAACAAATTGGAAGATGGCCGCCAGAAGAAAGGTACCCTCCGGTTATGTGTTAGTTTAACTAGTGAATGATAAGGATAGCTTTGGTTCTGTTTGTGTCCAGGCAGCAGTTAGGGTTTTGAACCCACAACCTTCTGGAAATAGGCATACATATCAAGTCACATGTGATGGTTCTATACTCTGTATACTGTATAATGTTATGCTTGGTGTGATTCTGTGTAAACACTGGTGGTGAGTTGGTGAGAGGCACGCTTAGTCTGTGGCTATCGTCCACTTCCTGTTAAATGCATCACTTCCACCCTTTTTTTCCATGTAACAGAAAAGATATTTATAAAAAATTTCAGATGGCCTTGGAATGGGGCAGATTAATGTATGAACAGTACGTTAAAATCATCATTTTGACCACTTGCCATTTTGCTGTGAAGTATGAATCTAAAATCAGAATTTCTACTCTGCCCAGTCGACCTTAGGGCAAATATGGATCAAAGTATATTTTTGTGATTGACACAGGTTAAATACTTCTGTGTGACTGGTTACATTTGTGGGATTATAGCAGTGTATCTCAGGCCGGTCCTCAGGGAACCCCAGACAGCTCCTTCCCAGCTCCCAACACACCCGCAGCAGTGTTCAGTATTCGGTGTTCAGGTGTGCTGAGAAGGAACAAAGATATGGACTGTCTGGGGGCCCCAAGGACTGGGTGGAGAAACACCGGTCTGTAGTATACTTTTAATTTGGTAATTGTAATACTGTTTTTGATTTAAACATTCTTTACTGTGCAGTGCCACCTCAGACCTGGCTGGCATCTGGTGACCACGTTCTCCACCAGATAAGTCAGAACAGGCAGCTGTTTAAAGGCGAGAGCCCTGATGTTTCTGTGTTCGTGGGAAGCCTTCGACCCTGGATAGATTTCCACGCAAAGAAGGAACAAGCGCATCCGGTACCTGCCTGGAAGGTGCCGGAGACTCTGGAAGACACAGTGAATCTGGTGCTGGAGAGGAAGAACAGGGTTTGGGCCCGAGTGTTCATTCAGGCCCTGAGCAGAGCCGCCGGGGTGAGCCAGAAGCTGGCCGAGTGGGCGGCCGTGCTGAACAGTGCAGGTAAGCAAAGTCGTCCGGCCTCCCATGTACTTACAGACAGCCCTCAGTTATGCATGCCCTGCACATTTTTCCCTCTTTGTCTGAAACTGAGATCTGTATCTAATTAGAATCAGAATAAAATGTCTGTCATTGTATCGTATATGTACAACAAAACCCTGTGTGCTTTCCCACCAATTCTGAGTATTATATATATATATAACTGACTGTATTATATATTTATATATATATATATATACTACAACATGTGTGGGCCAAAAGTAAGTATGTGGATTTTATTTTACAAGTTAAAGGCCAGTATTGGATCAGGTGACGTGGCCTTGACTGGCCGCCACGTTCACCTGACCTGACTTTTTCTTTGGGGCGTAGTAAAGGAGAATGTTTTTGAGAGGAAGCCCCACACGGTTGATGACTTAAAGGAGTTCATCTCGCAAGCATTTGTGGACATTGATGCTGACTGGGATTTGTGTGCTAAAGTATGTCAGAGTGTCAGGGACAGGCTCCAGGAACTTATCAACGTCGACGGAGGGCATTTCCAACACCTAATCAGTACTGTTAAATAGAAACTGCATACATACTTTTGGTTTACCTTATATATAGCTGAACAGTGAACTAAATTGCAGTAGTGTAGTCCCATTATTTGGCAATTACAAAAAGTACAATGGATTTGTATTGGTGCAGGTGGTAGCATGAAGTGTCAAAATTAAACATATGATCAAGACAAAAGCACAAAAAAATCAACAAATAAACGAATAATCATGCAGATATAAGTACCTGAGGCTGAGAGAACCAAATGTAGGGTACAGGCAGCTTTGGTGGATGTGCAGATATATCCCAGGGTCTCCCATGAGCTCTTGCTCCCCAACATTTCATGCGATGCCCATGTGTCTTGCAGGCATGGAGGCGGTGCGGGAGTTCATAGAGCGGCACGCGGAACACCTGGAGGAGCTGGACCTGGCCCCTCTCCTGGCCTTCCAGCCACTGCACGACGCCATCATGGAGACGTCCGGAGCTCTGCCCAGTTTGCTTGTGGGAGCGGCCACCACCGTGACAGGCTGCCTGAGGGCTGCCGGAGATCTCGAGGTCATGCGTCTCTTCATCTGGGTCCTGGAGGAGAACAGAGAGAACTTTGTTTCCTGCCATCAGGTGCTTAATACGTTTTTTGAGATGGGTAAGTGTCACTTTGTTCTGACCTGTATGTTACATGATTAGGCAGCGTTTGCCTACCCGATCCTTGGGGACCCACAGACAGGCCATGTTTTTGCTCCCTACCAGACAATCCACATTCATGCTCCATACCAGATAGTCCACATTTTTGCTCCCTACCAGACAGTGCACATTTTGCTCCCATTTGGGAGCTGGGAGAGAGCAAAAACATGGACAGTCTACGGGTCCTCAATGATTGTATCGGGAAACACTGTGATAAGGTGCTAATTTTTTTTTTTCGTTCTATAAGCTTTAAAGTACCATGCTGTTTTTCTGTGTTGCAGACTGCCTTTGTGTAGTGAATAAAAAGATGGAGAGTGAAAATCAAATTGTAAGTATATCTGTCTACACTGAACTGGGAGGTCACATTTACCTGTCACTGAGCCAGGAAACTGCCAGAAGGGGGAATTCATGGACTAACTAGTGAGGACAATGGAAACAAGTAGATCTCTGCTGTTTTTGCTTTCATGATCTTGTTTGATTTGTTCATTTGTTTTACAGAATTCTTCTATTAAGAGTAAGAACAGAAATAGAAAAAAGAAACAAAAAGAGTCAAAGGTAAGCTAGAAGGTCATTTTCGAGAACAATATTGTTTTTCCTAGACATAACAAAATGAAGGGCAAAATAATGGTTTTGTTTGTTTCGCAGTCTATAATGGTATTTACTGGATCAAGAGGAGGGACTCTAAGAGAGGAGGATGAAGATTTATTCTTTGAAGAAGATTCTCTGTAAGTCCTGCATGACCTCCAGGTTTTCTGAGCTTTCAGTGGTGTTATGTTTCCCTGACTGTTGCTTGTTGTTTCCCAACAGAAGACTTTTAGACAGTAATAATCCCTTTATTGTGCCCGAACACCTTCGCCATCAACTAGATGAATTTGAAGGACAGTATAATAATAATCGATTCAAGACAATTTTGGACAACAATATTAGAACAGATCCTGCTAAGGAGAATTTATATGAGTAAGTGAATGTTGTTCATTCTCTGATTTGTCCCTTGAGTGACGTAATTTTTTTGAACATTTACGTGATTCTTCTCTTCGGTCCACAGCTATTTTGCTCAGATCCTGGAGGAACATGGTCCTTTAGATGTCCACGACCCACTACTTGTGGGACAGTTGGATAATTTCCCTAGAGAGGCAACACTGTTGATTCAGGAGTCGGGCGGGCTAGAGGGCTTCCTCCTTGGGTCCTTACGGTTCTCGACAAACGGCACTCTGATTGGTCTGACGACAGACGCTTCTTCGTTCCTGGACCAGAGAGAAGAGCCTGTAGTTGACAACTCGTGCCCCTTCCCCACCTACCAGGAGGACAGTAACATCAGAGGACTGACCCTAAACCCATCTGCCAAAGAATTTACACCCTTATACTCGGAAATCTATACATATCTTCCTGGTGAACCTACAGTCTTTGATCAAGGAATAAATGCTATAGATTTCAGTGGCGGCACGTATAATGGAGATATTTCAGAGGGTTTTGCATATCCAGATTACTCTGAAATGTATATTAATGAGCCTTTTAGTGATGTAGAATATATAGCTGCTTCAGAGACTAACCAACATGCTAAGAAAACTCGGATGAGAAGTGTACCAGTACAGGTGAGTATTCTTGGTCTGAAGACAGACACGAGTTGAGGAGGCCTTTTCTGGTAATAATGCAAACCCCTGTTTTTGTTTCCCCTGTAGATGTTTAGTAAAAGTAAAGATGATGTTTTGGTTAACACAGAACCTTATGAGCCATTTGAAAGGAATAAAGTAAGTATCAAAACATTGAAGTGGTTTATTTGAAAAGTGCTGTGTGAGTTTGTTTATTTTTTGCATTTTCAAACCCCGTCTGGAATTCCATTGAAGCACTTAAATTGATTACTGTCCTTTAACCGTCTGCACTGGTCACTTTATGTATCAGTTGCTCATAACAGTGGAAGAACTGCATCTACTCTGTACTATATACACAAACTGCCCTTTCACTGCAAGCTCTTTACAAGTACATCTTTAAAATGAGATAATGTACAGTCAACCCCACTGCACAGCCCAAGTCAAAAGTTGCACCCTGTACATCATATTTATTAATTCATTATTTGTCTTGTGTCTAACTTGCATAGTTTTTGAGTAAAGCAGTTTTTAAAGTGTTTGATATACAGTTGCAATGATATAGTGTTTGTCTGCCTGTCTTGAGATGTCGAAGTCTGACTTGACCTAAACTCGTGATGTTTCAGGGAGACATGATTAAAAAAGAAAAATATATCAGTCAGCTTCAAAAGCAAATAATGCAAGCAGAAGAGGATTATACAAAAGGGAGGCAGCTCAGAAAGGAGCATATTTCATCCCTGGAAGAGGAGCTGAAGGAGATTAATCAGAACATCGAGGTACGTTTGGGGGGGTGCGGATGGTTCCATTTTCCAGGAAGCAGCCGGATGAGAAGGCGCCGTTGCTGAATCTTGTCGTGCTCACCCCCCACCCCCCCCCCCCCCCCCCGGCAGATTGCCAACAAGGAGCTGGATCTATTCCATAAAAAACTGGAGGAGGAGGTGAGGAAGGACCAGCAGGAGAAAAAGGCCAATCAGGAGACGCTAAAGACCTTGAAGAACGAGATGAAGGAGCTGGCGGCGGCGCGGGAGACGTGAGTGTTGGGGGGTGGGACGCCATGGGGGTGTTTCTGTGCCGGACGGCGCGGGAGACGTGAGTGTTGGGGGGTGGGACGCCATGGGGGTGTTTCTGTGCCGGACGGCGTGGGAGACGTGAGTGTTGGGGGGTGGGACGCCATGGGGGTCTTTCTGTGCCGGACGGCGCGGGAGACGTGAGTGTTGGTGGGTGGGACGCCATGGGGGTCTTTCTGTGCCGGACGGCGCGGGAGACGTGAGTGTTGGGGGGTGGGACGCCATGGGGGTCTTTCTGTGCCGGACGGCGCGTCACGGATGCAAACCCCCTGGTGTCAGGAGTACATGAGTACATCCGAAAGATTGTCAGTGTTTAGGAACTCAATGTTCTTTTTTTCTCCTGCAGCCTTTTAAAAAACATTAAAGAGAAGAGAATGGAGTATGACAAACAATTCAATGAGATCTTGGACGAGAGGCAAGTTTCCTTTTAACGTGAGAGATGAGTGGTTTAGTAATGGCACTTTACCGGAGTATTGTGGGGAATAATGAAGTTTTGTACTTTGGGATACACTTACATCCCAAATGCCAGCTAATACATAAGAATATATACGAGTTGATGACCATGAGGAGTCAGTCTTTGAGCACAAGATGACCCTAGATGGTGTGAATTTTACAGGAACCAGTCTGAGGCTGAGAAACTGAGTATGGAAGAAGAGGTGAAGCGGTGCAAGGACCTCTGTGCCCGTGCAGTCGCAAGGTCACTGGCCGCTGAGGTAACCTGTCCCGTTTCTCCCGCTGACAGGGTCAGGTAAACGCGCTTTGCTTCTTGGTGCCTTATATGCCGTTTCTCTATCTCAAGGTCACTATGCTGGACTGCAGACGTCAGTGTAGCCTCCAGGGCCTGTACAGATACGTGTCGGAGAAAGAGACAGTCCTCGCTCACTTGAAGGAGGTGGCCAGCAGGTAAATGACGTCAGAGTCAGCTCTGTCATTGTGCACGTGTATGACGAAATGAAGAGCATCACGCATAGTATTACTGTTAAGACATCAGAACAGATTAAAGAAGCCGTTTGCCAGCGTGGTGATGTGCTGCTATAACACGTGCCCAACAGCAGGGGGCGAAGAGCTCATAGCTGGGGTGCATGTGGGTGAGGTTTGGTGTAAGATAAGATGGACCTTGTTTATCTCGGGAGAAATATGGTGCATACGGCAGTGGGGTACAGTGAGTGCAGACAGATCGAGAGAGAGTGCAGAGGTGGTGCACATAGTGCAAACATAAAAAGTACACTGTACACTAACAGAATATTCTGAAAGGAAATATTGGGAAATAAACAGAAGTTTAAAAATTAAATTGTCATGTGTGCAATCATACATGCAAACAGACAGCGCTGGACTTTCCCTGCATCAATGATGGGATGTTTCCTGGCTTTTGGGGGGGGGGGGAACGGTGCTCCATTAGGTCCTCTTGTAGTGCCTGAATGCAGCAGTAGCATTTGGAAGCTGCTGCTGTTGACACTGGTATCTTTCTGCTTGCAGGGCCAAATCACCCGAAGTTAGCAAAGCTCTGAATGCCTGGCAGGAAGTTCTTCAGGATGCAAAGGACAAAATCTTCAGGACTGAGGTGGGTGGAGTCATCCCAATCTCTGGGGGGGCTCTTACGTGCTCCTCCCCTGGCAGTTTGTAGCCATCTTGGTTCTGTGAAGTGAAACTGCGTGACTTACACCGGCATGACCTGACAGGAAATGCCTCGGGTTGCCTTAACCTGCAGATTGATAAATGTCATCTGGAATGTGTATTTGCAGTTTCAGAATGAGTTGTCTGCAGCTTATTTAGTGTTGAAACTCAATGAAGTACAATAATAGCAAGACTTCATCATTAAATAATCATTGGTTAACATAGCAGAAGGCAGCCCAGGTGGGGAATGTAAATTCCCAGGATGTCGTGATGCACGTGATGATATTTAGCCACAAATCATTTTCACGCGATTGTATATATGGGACGTAGACATAAGTAATGAGGTTCACGCACACTTTGGCTGTTACACATTTCTTACACATTTGCATGAAGATATTTCATAAATGTGTGCTTCTGCAAGCATCAAAGGCTGTAAATGCTGGGTTCGCTTCCTGCGGTTTCAGATCAACCTTTATACAGAAATGAAGACGTCTTTCCCCACTGGGAGGCAGTAACGCTTATTTGACCCTGTGTTTTGAAATGTGCTCTTATCTCCCTCAGGCCAGCTACAAGGAGCAGATGGAGCAGCTGCAGAAGGGAACCAGACTCTCCAGTCTGCCTCCGGTGACTGTGCCCTCTCCTCTGCCCACCCCAACTCTACCGGTAAAGCTTGCCGCCATTTTGAGATCTGCAGTGCCACCTTGTGGTTAAGAGAAAATATACTTTCTCAGGCCAGTATATGTATTGCACAAGTGTAGGGATAGGTGAAACTGAATCAGAATGAAAAGAAAACCATGATCTGTTTTGGAAGGCTGTCTTTACAGCACCAAGATTGTATAAAGGCAGCACTCGTGATTAGATTAGATTAGATAATCTTAATTGATCTCAGGAGAAAATTCTTGTGTATACAGCAGCAAGTATGTAGAGCATGGACAAAAACATATAGTGCAAAGACGGTACACAGTGCAAATAAGTAAATATGATGCAAACAAATTAAGTACACAGTTCACAAATAGAATATCCTGAAAAGCAGAGTACAGACGCTCCTCTACTTACGAACAAGATACGTTCCATATGGCCGTTCGTAACTTGAAATGTTCATAAGTTGCTTTTCAACATCATTTTAAGGGTTTACGCAAGTACAAAGAACTAGGGTGCTGGGAGTACGCACGCTACGCTGCTGCGCGGTGGGAGTAGCGGCCAGAAGTCACGCAGAAAAATTGTTGCTGACAGGAAACTGGAGCCCAATGAACACAGTTTGGACTTAAAGTCCTCTTCGTTCGTATGTTTGAAAGTTCGTAAGTTGAGGAGCATCTGTATTATATGAAAAATATGATGCCGCTGATGATAAATTAGCAGATAGTATTGTGCAATTAGACGGACAGTGCTGGTCGGTTCCTATTGCAATGATGGATTACTTCCTGCTGTGCTATGGCTGGGGCCGGGGGCACGTTGGGAGGAGGCTCTGTACACTTTAATGGCAGCAGATAGGAGAGACCCCTAGTACTGCTTCTCACACACTATGGTGGAATGAGCCGGTGGCTAAATGTGCTCCAGAATAGCGCCCCCTGCAGTGGAGAACGCGTGCAGTTGCCGAGGGCCAATCTTGTTGACAGTCTGGTCTAGCTGAGAGACGGAGAACGGAGGTGCACCACCAGCCAGTTCGTGACGCTGAATGAAACATGCTGTGCGTGCGAGCTGTGCGTGCGGTGCGGCTGCTAGAGAACAACGGCGGATATGATGTGGGTTTAACCAGGCTGAACTACCCCCAAAAAAAACAAGCTGCACTGCAGATCTTTGTTTAAAGCACTACCATACAGATTCTGTGGGTTTGCGCTAACAGTACTAATGCTGATCATATCGCTGTCTGACTAGGTCCAATAAGCCAGTACAATATAAAATAAAGCCTTTCAATGTCCTTGAATAACAGATGCTATTATCCAAAGCAACATACCATGGTAAAAACATTGCTGTTCACGTCCTTAAAAAGAATAAGAATATAACATACTAACTACACAGCTCCTGGAATTGGTATTACTTACCATCTAAATCATTTTTATTGTGATTATCGTCATCCCCAACATACAGAATGGGTCTGCAGTAACGCTGTGTTGTCAGTGGGTGGCCAGTGCGAGTCTAGCAGGAACCGTGTGTGTGGCACTATGGGTTATGTGACCGCAAGGTGGTCGTATCACATTTTCTCGTGGGAGTTTTACCTGTTCTGAGGGCAGAAGGAAAAATGATTGCTTCAGAGAGTGGTTCAGATTGCAGAGAAGGTGGGTCCAAACAACTAGTGGAGGCAGGACCAAGATATCTGATTGGTTGGTTCCACCTCCTTTAGTTGCTTGGACCCCCTCCCCTACAATCTGATTGGTTATCTCTCTGAACCAATCATTTTTTCCTTTTGCTCTCAGAATATTTTTGTGTAAGTAAATATCCCATAAGCATCATATTTTAGCCCAAGAGCAAGGCCCTTAACCCCAAAAACAGCTCCAGGACATCGGCCACATTGGCTGCTTTGCCCTTGCCCGTATATTTGTGTCTTACAGGACAGCATGACGGGGGGAAAACTAACCCTAACCCTCTCTGTACTGGTATCATAGCACTGGAACCAAAATCTGCTTAATGCATAAGCTGCTTACTACATTCCTTTCCATTCAGTTCCACTGCCCATTTGCAGTTCCCATTGTGTCCATGTCTCAGTACGTCATGTTTCAATGTCTACAATTTTTTGCACTATGACTAACACTGAAATTTTATTTGTGTGTGTGACCCAAGTGTCATACAGCTGAAGATAACTCTTCAAGTCAAGATATTCTTTATCAGCCAGTTCTTGTACAATGACGTCTTGTGCTTATATTATGAAAGTGGTTCCCGTATCTAGTTTGATGTTCCGCGTCATGTGACATTGTGACATGTTGGTGCTCTCCTCCCTTCTCCCCCCCCCGCAGCCCTTCGCCAGCCAGGGATCCGCTGTTCGCTACCCGAGTCCGCGGCTCCCCTCAGCCGCCACACACGTCACCCTGCCGCCAGTGAGACTGCAGCCCGCGAACAGAGGGCCCCGGGCCCTGCCTGCTGTGGCCCCCCCGCAACCTGACCCCTTCCATGGCAGAGGTGGCCTGCACCCCGACATTCCAGCCAGCCCATGGGATGGCACTCAGGGCGTGAGCCTGGGGCAGCAGCCACAGGGCCCCAGGGCCGGCCCCCAGCATCCAGCAACTGCTTTCGAGAAAATCATCGACCGGCTGGCCATCATGTTCCCCCACTATAGCAGGTTAGCGAGGAGCCTGACGCATGCTGTTCCTGGGGGGCAGTGTGGCTAAGTGGCTTAGGCCTCTGTATCTGTGATCAGAATACTGCTGCTCGGAATCCCGTTGGGCCCTTGAGCAAAGGCCTTAACCCCTGAAAAATGCTCCAGGGGAGCCGGATGGGTCGCTGACTCCCTTTCTCCAAGCCTCACTCTCACTTCTATGTATGGGTGTCAAAGGGAGAGTAAAATGGGATTCGCGACTAGAGGCATTCCAGTGTTCTTGTAGAAGCAGCAAGTCGGTGCAGCAGGAGTAATGAGCAAAGCATCATTCATGTTTCAGACCCGTGCTAAGCAAGTTCATCCAGGAGGTGCGCTCTGCCAATGGGGGTCACCTGAACAGCCTCACCTATGACGTAGTCATCAACAGAGTGGCTCAGATCATTCTAGACCATCAGGAAAACACCAGAGTAAGCGGCACCCCTGTATCTCCTCCCTTTGAATACTAAATGCCTGAAATTTCTGTTTTCAGAAATTGAGTTTAATTATCTATGATACATTCGATAAGACATTAATTAAGGCATTGTGGGTATTGGTTGTTTGGTTAGTGTTCAGGTTGACTGCATACATGGAGCCATGGCCCATAGGCCTTTACCTTACAGATGGTCTCCCTGTCCCCCCAGGAGCAGATGAGCGCCGCGCACGGCCTGGGAGCCCGAGAACTTCTGCCAGGGTGTCAGTCCCCATCACCAAGGTGCGAGTCGCCAGCACCTGGCAGGTCCTCCACCGCGCCCCCGCAGGCCTGGAAGAGCATGGACACATACAAGCGGCCCGGGTCCCGAGCGGTGAGGCTGCGCTCCGAATCCATCTGGGTGCTTCACGCTGTATCAGTGCAAGACACCCGAAATGCTGCAATGTATCTACAGGTGCTGGTCATATAATTAGAATATCTTCAAAAAGTTGATTTTTTGATTCAAGTGAATATTAACAGATTGTTGCAGTAATTCAGGCAAAAGGAGGCCCAACTAAGTATTGAGTGCTGTACATGCTCATACTTTTCAGTTGGCCAAGATTTCTAAAAATCCTTTCTTTGTATTGGTCTTAAGTAATATTCTATTTTTCTGAGATTCTGATTTGGGGTTTTCATTAGTTGTCAGTTATAATCATCAAAATTAAAAGAAATAAACACGTGAAATATATCAGTCTGTGTGGAATGAATGTATACATTATACAAGTTTCACTTCTTGAATGGAATTAGTGAAATCAACTTCCATCCATCCATTTTCCAACCCGCTTATCCTACTGGGTCGCGGGGGGTCCGGAGCCTATCCCGGAAGCAATGGGCACGAGGCAGGGAACAACCCTGGACAGGGGGCCAGCCCATCACAGGGCAATAAATCAACTTTTTGAAGATATTCTAATTAAATGCGCAGCACCTGTATATTCGTTTGGCTTATAACATGAATTTATGCAGTAGCCTTAAGACTCCTTGATCACCCACAGTTGAATGTGGAAGATCCCTGTATCATCTGCCACGAGGAGATGTCCGCAGAGGACCTCTGTGTCCTGGAGTGTCGGCACAGCTTCCACAGAGAGGTGAGCGTCGCCCCCTAGAGGGCACGGCTGCTTGTGCACCTAACCCATGGCCTTTGCTGACACCATATGCCCCTCCCTTCCTATCCCCAGTGCATCAAGTCCTGGCTGAAAGAGCAGATGACCTGCCCCACCTGCAGGGACCACACCCTCCTGCCAGAGGACTTTCCCCAGCTACCGGACAGGCCTCGGCGGGGCCACTACTCCTGATCTCCCTTCTTGCGTGCTCCACATAAGGGGAATGACACATGGTGGGAAATATCGTGACCAAAACAGTTGTGGACTTTTTTTTTTTTTTTTTTTTTTTTACGGCTTGGCCACTCTAGTCCTGAATTTCACAGGTGTTAAAGTCCGTCCCAGAAGTGCCATTCGGGAATCCATAGGTCCAGGATCTGGTTCAGACCCGGCACAGTTTCAGAGGAAAGTTCTCCGTGATCAGGTGGTCATCGTGCAGGACTATGACGACGTTCACTTCAAATTCTAGAGGAGAAGAAAGACACACCTGGCTCAGGCAGGGACAAGGACAAGCTTTGCCGTTTCTGGTGCCTCTCCCACCCCTCCAGTGCAGTGACTGTTTGTTGCCAGCAGATGGCCTCCAAAACAATTTGCCATATAAAAATGATTTGAGTGGTGGTCAACACCACTACTGGTTTCAGGGTAACAGCCTAATGGTTATTTTCATGATGATGACTTAAATTTTGCTTTGGCATTTTTATTATAAGAACATCTGCATAATTAAGCCCTACCAACTTTGAAGTTTGTGGTTTCCAGCGTGGGACAGGTGAAGAGCCTGGGAAAGACCATGTATATGGGGATTGGGAGGCTGTGGCAGACGGCTCCCTCGGCGATCTGAATGTTCTGGATCTCTGTGGCGTCCCTGGCGTAACCCTCTGCACAGCCTGCAGTCACAATGGGGGGGGAGTCAGCCGATTAGTTTGTCCAGTACCTCATGTACCTATGTAATGTATACAGATATAACCTACAGCACACCTACCCCACCATGTTTAACAGCCAGCAACAGACAACGTGGATCCAAAGGCAATTCGTTGACTTTGTCAATAATGTAAACCCACACAAATGCAGGAAAAAGGCAGAAAGATGACTCATCTGGCCATAATACTTTTTCCCTGCTGTTCAAAGCTCCATGTTTTGTGCTCCTAACACCAGGTTATGTGTCTTTGTGCATTGGCCTTGGATACAAGCATTTCCTGAATGGCAGCCCTGTTCTGAGCTGTGTGAAATTCACCATGTGACGTTGTTGCTGAAATGGGGTCACAGAGGGGCACATTCAGTTCTGTGATCATTTTTGAGCCAGTACGTTTGTGGTGTTTATCAACTATCCTGTTAGTGGTCCAGGGGGGTATTCCACGAAGCAGGATTAAGGGAAAGTCTGACTTATTTCGACAAGTCTGTCTTATTTAAGTGGGAGTTCCGTTCCATCAACGTGTCTTAAATGAATCCCCGCTGAGTTTACAGGTAATTTACACCTGCGAACAAGTCTGCTCCGGACCAGGTTAACTGTCTCGCTTAGTTAAGCGTTGTCTCAAAGAACATCCGACGTGTGGGAACAGCTTCCCAAAAGATCGTTCCCTCGGATCGTTCCCGCGATCTTACTACTGATGTCATGTAATCTGTTGAATTATGTGTCCCCATCTGACATAATATTTGACATTATCTGATTGAATTTTTTTATTAATCTGTAAGGTGTACCAAAATGACATGATTTTGTTTGAGTTAGCGGGAGAGTGAGTCTTGTATATACGTATATAAAAAAGATGGAACCCTGTAGTCAATGCTGTGAGTAAAAGCAAGACGAGAAAGCAGAGAATAAAAACCATCTTTTCGGAAGTAATCCTCTGCGCGATACTTCCATAATATGGAGAACAGAGCTGAGATTGCTACATAATCAATATAATAAAGCCTATAAAATCACGTCTCAGCATTCCAATTAATTCCAAAATAATTACAGTAAAATCCTGTTATAGTGGACTCGCTTATAACAGAATATCATATATGACGGACGAGGTCCGCTGGTCCCGGCTGTGTGCCTTTACGAACATGCAGAAAAAGCATCGGATATAGCGGACTCGCATATAGCGGAATTTCGCTTATAATGGACAAACAATTTGGTCCCCAGGGCCGCTTTTAGCTGTAGTTTTGTTCGGCTATAACGGACATGCAGTTCTGCCTACAAGGCGTATGGTGTGCCGGTGAAATCCAGCACAGATACGTACGTAGTCGGGATTATTAATAGTCACGCATCTGGTCAGGTAAAGTTGGATTACTACATCCATCCATCCATCCATCCATCCATTGTCCAACCCGCTTATCCTACTGGGTCGCGGGGGGTCCGGAGCCTATCCCGGAAGCAATGGGCACGAGGCAGGGAACAACCCTGGATGAGGGGCCAGTCCATCGCAGTGGATTACAATATAATAATCTATACCACAAGTGTGTCTGCTGAGGTGTGGCATGAGTGAATGGTGTCCTGTAGTTGTGTTCTGGGCATACAGCAACTCTGGATATAACGGACTGTTTTGCCAGGTCCCTTGAAGTCCATTATAATGGTATTTTACTATAAAATAAAAGCGTATGCCTATTACAAAGGTGAAACATGAAATGCAATGACTGTAATTGGAAAAAAATCTGTTAAAATAATATGAACAGGAAGATATTTTGTTTAGTCACGGTCTAATTTATTAACTTTATTGCTAAAATAGCAAAGACAATATATGGTTATTTTTGCAGAACATTTCACACGGATGTGATTTAAAGTATTTTACGGAGATCAAATAATATTATGCAGTAATAATGACAGGTGAAATCAACCCAGAAGGTTCCCTGTTGGCTATGGGGATCGAACCAACAACTTTCGCATTATAAGGCGACAGTAAAAACCACTGTACCAAGCTCTTCTAACATTTAGGGCGCTTTTCCACCGCACAAAGTACGGTACTTTCGCTTTTCCATTGACTTCCGGTCAAGTACCAGTACCGAAAGCTCGAGTACCGAAAGTGCCAAACCAGCTGGGGTACTTCTTTGGTACTTCGGTACTTTGGGGTGGGACTTACAAACGTATTTGCTGTCGATTGGTTATGCAAATAGCCTGCCACGCAAACACAAAATATTTTAAAACATCACATGCCTTTTCGATGTTTTTTGTTTTAATAAATTAAATGATTTAATTCGCTGGATAGAGATATTTATTTGATGAAAACGGTATAGTATTGTTTATAAGACTATATTATGCGTGACGATCTACTGTATTCACATGTACCTGAGTGATTTTCAGACATTTCACATATCTCTTTGCTTTAATATTAGGGGAAACATTATTTCCTGATAGACAGGAGAAACATAGGGAAACTGAATTGCTCGGAACACCGTAATACCAAGCCGCTTGGAAGAAATGGGGCACACACGAAACACCGAACAATGCCGCTTGAAAATCAAAAAACATAATTAAATAATTTGTTTGCTGTCAAAAGACTGAATTAGCAGTAAGCTAATTCTTACTGCTTTGATTTGATCGGCTTAGCCAAAGTAAGTGTACCTACGTTTTTTTTTTTTTTAAATCATGATTTAAGCTGCGCGTTGTGACGATGTGAGTCAGGGGCGGTCACTGATGTTGTCATTTGGCGCCGGTACCATTTTTTACGCCAGTGGAAAACTGACACGAAAGAAGTACCATAGCCTACTTTCGGCACTTTCTGTAAGTACCAAAAGTACGGTACCTGGTGCGGTGGAAAAACGCCCTTACCTAACTTATAAATTTAGTCTGTCTGCAATTCATTGCCAAGCCAACTCCCTGGCTATGTTTATGGCCACAGTATTGCCTTTTTTTTTTAACGATTACATCTTTGTATTTTTCATACAGCTCCATCAGCAGCGTTTGTTCTGTGGAGGAAAGAAACACCGCTCTCATTTTACAGGCTTTCCGACTCATTTGGTTGATCTATTGTTCATCCATTTATTTGGGCTTCTTAAATATCGTGGGTGTGCGCACTAAGTGAGGCTATGCAAGTCTGTCTGGAATGAGCCATGATTAGTTAAAACTGAACTGCGTTCCTGGAACGACATGAGGCTAAGTTTAGAGATGGAGCTAGGTTGAGTCTGAATTTTTCGGTAAAGTCTGCCTTTCTTTACCTACTTTCGTGGAATACCCCCCAGCTGTCTCTGCAGGTGAATTTTGACTTGAGACCACTGCAGCTTCTCCATACTCTGCGTATGCCGTCATCATTGCTGACCCTGTTCCCTTTGACACCAAATCATTCAGTGTCCTCATTACCTGCAACTGCAATTCGACTCTATCTTGGCTGTGATAGTTGACTCACGTTGCTTTGAAAACTCGCATACCAAAGTACTGCTTTTCAGACCTCTTGTACAGCTCACACACACGCTAAATGGCATTCCTCTTGGCAAGACTTTCAAGCCGTTTGTAATTGAGATCCAGTCAATTCAAAAGTCGTTTTTCATGTGAGGTTCCTGTTATTTTTTTCTATCCTCAAATACAGTACAAGTCAAAAATCAGGACACACCTACTGAAAATCATTTGTTTTTCAACAAGATAATGACTCTAAACACACTTGGAAGTTATGCAAGTACTGTATAATCACGTGAGCAAGGATAGAAATGGCGTTCTGTGACAGATGGCCTGTCCCCCAACCTCCTGACCTAAACCCTTTACAGCTGGTTTGGGATGAGTTGGATTGAAAAGTAAGAGCAAGGTAGCCAAACTTATGTCTTGAACTTCTGGAAACTCCTTCAGGACTGCTGGAGATGCATTCTAGGCAGCTACCTCAGGAAGTTGGCTGAAAGAATGCCAAGAGACTACAATACTGTCATAGAAGCAAAAAGGGAGTATTTAGTGGAATCTAAAATTTGAGAAAAATCTGAGATGTTGAACACTACTCTTTGGTCGTTGCGGTACTTGACATATATCATTTCAATGCCTCAAGGGATTTTGCTATAAGGTGAATAACATAGCTAAAATACAGACAAAAGTATTAACAGTGTGTCCAGACTTTTGTCTGCTATATTTTTAATTATGGTAAATCAAGGAACACATGAAGTTCAGTTTCTCACTGCTGAAAATGACATACCCTCTCTTGAATTAATTCGGCCAAAATGAGCCCTTTACAGTCAGGGCTGTCTTGTAGCCTTTGGTAGGATTGTGTGCACATGCGCAAATGAAATAACACAGCTATTCATGGAATCATATGTTAGTGTTTCTAAAAAAAAAAAAAAAACTCACCACAGGTCTCCACCCGCACCAGCTGCAGCTCAATGCTCTTGATGGGCACCTCCGACATCTCCACAGTTAGCTCGCCTGTCAGGGGCTGCGTTATGATGCAGCTGGTTGCGTCCAGCCGACCCCGGATCATAAACTTGGGCAGAGCAGTCCTCTGGGTAAACAGAACCAAATAATGCTAAACGCAAGGCTAGAGGTATGGGCCAGTGCCAGTGACCCATTTCAGTGCATATTCCCTGGACAGATCCCAGGGCATCTCACAGAGATCCAGCAAGCATTCTGGCACTAAATAAAGTGCACGGAAAAATGATACTTTTACTAACCTAGATGAGAGCAATCGTTCTCATTTACTCTACATTCTACACAGCCAATCAGACATCATCATGGAATATCTTTTGCTTCATGTAGGAAGCTGACCTCCAGCTGGGGCTCGTGGTGGGAGGGGAGTGGCTGGGATTTTTATCTTTCATTTATTTTACAGTCTTAGGACCAAATGAAGGTACACTTCACTACACATTGTACTTGTATAACTGTGTATGTGACAAATAAAGAATTTTGGAACCTGGGTTTGTGTCTCCGACAGGGTTCCACAAGTGTGGAGTTTGTATGTTCCCCCTGTGTCATCGTGGGGTTTCCTCTGGGTACTCTGGTTTCCCCCCACAGTCCAAAAACATGCTGAGGTTAACTGGAGTTACGTGCGTGTGTGAGTGAATGGTGTGAGTGTGCCTTGTGCCTGTAGCCTCTGGACCCCCCGCGGCCCTGAATAGAATGAGCGATTTCAGAAAATGAATGAATGAATAGGTGGATGGATCTAAAGAGTCTGAAATCTAGTGATGTGTGGCTCTATGGGTTGTCATCGGAAGGTCGCTTGTTGAAATCCCATGCTTGATTTCTCTGTCGGGCCCTTGAAAAATGCTCCAAGGGCGCAGGATGGATGGCTGACCCAGTGATCTGACCCCAAGCTTCATTCTCACCTCTGTCTGTGTCCAATGTACAAATGGCAAATAAAGATTCATGTTTCAACTCTCTTTGTAATTGCAGAGATACAGTGCCAGGATGGGGTTTGTTGTTGGTGGTTTTCTCTTACTGAATTCTCTGTCAGCAGATGCATCCACACATGTGACATGGACGGAAGAGCAGGTTTGTCTCGCAGCCTGTGCTTTGCCTCCAGGAGACAGGGCCTACCTCTCTAACGTTCTGCAGAGTTTCGGGGGTGATGGTGAAGTCGACCGGACTAGGCTGGAGCTTCCCGTTTTGTGGCTGTTTAGGGTCAGGGTAGGTTTAGGGTTAGGGTTAGGGTTAGCAGATACCAGGGAGACTTTATGGAGAGCGGACAGCGTCGTGACGAATGTGCGAGATCTTACCTGACAATGAACCATGAACTCACATGTCTTGGTCAGGTCTTTGGCCAAGAGCGACCGCTTCATATCACAGCGCAGAGTGTACTAGGGTAGAAGCCATATTGGATGTGTATTAAAATCACTGTATGACTCCTCTCAAACGCATCATGCTACACTCCTAATAAAACTTTAATGCCAGCAAATGGGTGGATGACAGGACATGAATATTTTCATACATTTTTTAAAACATAGCATGCCTGACATTACTGTATGGAACCTCTTTGATGTGAATATATTTTCAATACAGTCAAATAATATACAGTTTTGACATTTTTGTCAAATGACAAGTGGTGCAACCGTGTGAACAAATGCACAGAGTAGAAAACTATTAAAATAGGTATTTAATTAATTAAAAAAATTTAATAGGCATAATTCTGTTTGAAACCTTTAAATTCAAAACACAAAGTTTAGCCTGTAATACAATAAATACAATTTTCCCAGGAACCAGCATTTACTGGCAAATTTTCACTGCCTTCTCATTATAGACGGGGAAAGAAACCTGCCACATTTACATGCCTTATTTTCATTTTAAAAGAGGGCAGGAGTTACAAACATCAAGAGCGATGGAATCAGCATCGATTCTGACAGCTTCCTTCAGCCAATAGCTTTATCTTCAGTTTTTGCGCTTTAGATGAGAATGATGTCGAGAAGACCATGTTTTCAAAGTGTTTTCCCTTCTCTGCTCAGTTTCCAGAAAAGCAAGACAACAAGCTTTCCGAAGCGACAGATGTCAATTAATCCGTACTTTCCATCTCTACCAATTGCTCGCTGTTAGCTAAATTTAGAAGCGGATACAAGAGAGTACTTCAACACCGGTCTTGTTTCCAGAAGATTCTGACACAACAAAAGACTCCCCTAATGACCGTCAGGGCGGAGCCTGATAGCCGAGTTGGCAGATAGGACCACGACAAGTAGGTTATTATGGGATAGCTTCGTTTCCCAAGCCTGAGGACTTCTCCTTGGACTCTAGAGGAATAGATGTGAAGTATTACCCCTGACAATGGTCAATTATGGCAAATAAAAGCAAGTTAGGAGGTACGGCCTCTCATACTAAATTAGGCCTGCTTTGGAGCAATGAATCTTGACCACATCCTGAAAACATTACATAATATTTACATACTCATCAAAAAAAAAGTTCTAATCAATTTATTCAGGCGCACGTTTACAACACATCCCAGGCAAAATGCTCAAGAGTCAGGGAGGTACCCACTCTCCTTCTCAGATCCGAAGCTGCATATTTTCATTGATTACGTCATCTGCTGACCCAGACGTGAGTCATTTCGTTAGAGGGGCAACGAAAACAGCCTGTATCTTACCTGAATGTTGACAAAAACCCCATGGTACGTTTCGTAGAGCACTTTGTTGCCCTTGACATGTAGGGGAAACTCAAAGGGGATCTCAGTCTTGCCCCCGGGAATCTTTCCTGGCTTCACCACCTCGATGTTGCTGCTGATGAGCTGGATGGGCTGTAAGAGAGGAAGGTTTAAAAGCTCAGACTTGCGCTTGAAAGCTCCTGGGCGCCGACGTGGTTTTTCTCTTTCCGACTGGCCGCCGGACGACCCTGCGCGGCCCCGCCGCCCACCTTGACGGAGTTGTAGAAGGCCTCAAAGACGCCCACGCTCTTGGAGCTGAGCTGCAGGTTGACTAAACCCTCCATGGTGAGAGAGATGCCTTGGTGCTGGACGGCCTCCTTGCTGACGATCACCACGACACCCGTCAGAGCTTCCTGCCCGAGACGGAGAGACCAAGGATAGTGACACCAGCATCTTAGGATTGTGGGTCTTCTGATGCACAAGATCAGGAGGTCTGTCACCATGCTCTGATATTTCAAAACCATTTCACATCCATGGCTGTTTGCTTTTAGGTTTACTGCATGTCCCCTGTGAAAATTCTGGATTCTAGCACCCCACCCCACACACTAGTTGCTATAACAATATATAGTACAGACATATATGGGCAATTACTGATAAGAACATAAGAAATTTACAAATGAGAGGAGGGCATTCGGCCTATTAAGCTTGTTTGGGGAGAATTTAACTAATAGCTCAGAGTTGTTAAAATCTTATCTAGCTCTGATTTAAAGGAACCCAGGGTTTCGGCTTGCACTACACTAGCAGGAAGATTCCATACTCTAACTACACACTGTAGAAGTGTTTTCTCAAATTCAGATTAAAATGTTCTCCCGCTAATTTCCTCCTATGGCCACGAGTTCTAGTATTTAAACTAATATTGAAGTAGCCATTTGGCTGAACAGCATCTAGACCCGTTAGAATCTTATAGACCTGGATCATATCCCCCCCTAATCTCCTTTGCGTGAGGCTAAACAGATTCAGCTCAGCTAACCTCTCCTCATAAGACATTCCTCTAAGACCAGGAATCATTCTTGTAGCCCTACGTTGAACCTTTTCCAAGGCAGCAATGTCCTTCTTAAGGTATGGTGACCAAATCTGAACACAGAATTCTAGGTGGGGTCTTTACCAATGAATTGTATAATCATAGCATCACCTCCTTTGACTTAAACTCCATATACCTAGAGATGTAACCCAACATCCTATTGGCCTTTTTAATTGCTTCCCCACACTGGCGAGAGTAGGACATGGAAGCATCAACATAAACACCGAGGTCTCTCTCATAATCAGCAACCTTAATTTCAGTGGAACCCATAAAATATCTGTACTTCATATTTCTGCTCCCTGCTCACCTTTATTTCAATGTCTGCATATTTGTTTATTACTTTAATTGTATTTTGCTGTTTTCTGTACTTCTGCATTGATGATATATTTCATGCTTAATTGTATGTCTGGCCACCGTCTGCACAAGAGCAAATTCCTAGGCGTATAAAAAAATTCTGATTCTGCAAAATTGCATGGTGCATTACAAAAAATACTTTTTAAAATGCAACACAAAATGCTGAAATTTCTACCCAATGCTCCGTTTTCTGGAATGCCATGCATCCGGCTGACTTTCGCGCGGCTCTAAACTTGCGCCGCTGACGAGCTGCACACGTCATCGCGTTCGCAGGATATGACTTATGAGAATGTAGCGTCAGTAATGAGTCACCGTACAGGAGCAGCTGAGATATAAGCCAATGCCAAGCAGATAAACGACAGCAAATAATTCACACTGTGCCTTTGCTGTCCCTGGCCACATTCATAAGACAAGGATCCATGAGAGAGCAGAGCATTTTCAGGAATACAACCAAGTGCAGTTCATAACTGTTTTGTGGTTAAAACACTTACAGCAAAGAGAGACACCCTCATCCTAAAGCATTCTGCTATACTGTTTAAAAAATAATAATTATATATATCAGCTGCACCAGGGCTATCCCTTGTAGTCATCTGTTGAATTATTCATAGATCTGCTGTAAAGTCTTGATCTCGCAATACCTATAGTGTCCACTAAGGGGCACTAAAAACCTTACACATAGAATTATTAATTTTTTAAATCAGTGCAATTCTTACATATACAAGATTTCTTTGAAAGCAGCTGCAGGTAAAGATGGTCTAGTTGTCACTTTCATAAAGCTGTAAAGGGTTTACAACTCTCAAATGAAGCATGCAATTTGAAAAAGGCATCCAACCAAAATGTACAAAAAAAATAATTAAAATAATTAAATATGGAGCATGGGAACAGGAGCCCGCTGTTCTCCCAGGCTCACACCCTGACAGTATTTTTCCTTTTTTTGTTTAATGGAACTAAGTGGAAGTATGGGCACACTGCGTGCCCCTTTGCACTGAAAGGCCCTTTGTTGGAGGGGCAGTGAATACTGCTAGGCTTCCCACAGTGGTGGTGCGACTCGTACCCGCAGATGAGCTCTTTGCTTGTGCATGTTTCTGTCATTCGCCATGACATTTGAGGCCAGATGTATACGTGTTAAGATGACTGAAAACAGCTTTTAAAAAAATAATCACAAGCAAAAGCAATCCCCGCCTCCCTATCACAATCCCCGCCTCCCTATCACAAGCCCCGCCTCCTTTCAATCCCTTTTCTTCAACAATGTTGCTAATTATTGGGTGTTGAGACATGGCCTGTGCCCTAGGGAGGCTGAATTGCACCCTTTGTACTTTTATTGAACCCTTAGTGAAGCATGGCTCGCTGGGGGAACCGGTTGGACTGTCAGCGTGAGTAGCATGTCACCATGCAGTTGGGAGCTGAATGTGACCTTGCTGTGAGTGTCCCCCAGCCCCAGTCCTAACTCTGGAAATATTCTGGAAGCACATTCAACATGTGACAGTGTGTGTGTCTGTGTGTGGTCCACGTATACATTACATTGTGGGGACATTACTTGTGTAACCTGCTTTAAAGCAATATGAAGACCACTTCTGTGCAGCTTATATTAAGGTAAATATAGCCAGTCAAATTCATAGCCCCCCCTCCCCAAAAAGTTAAAACTTTGTTTGCTTAAATCTCTCTCAATACTGATCCAAGACACGCCCAATTTCAGATTCATGAGTTACTCATGTGACCAAATCAGCATGCCAAGTTTCGTTAAAATCCACGACGATGAGGTCTGAAAGTGTGATGATTTGACATGGAATGACCCATAAGGACAAGTATTCAGATTACAACTGAAGCTTTGAAGAAAATAAAATGTTTTATTTTTTATAAATAGGCTGTTGTATAATTAGGCTGTAGACTACTCACCTTGTTACCAGTACACTGCAAATCCATATCATAGTGCACAGTCCCACCGGTGATGACTGAGACAAGGGTGTACCACCCACCCCTAGTGGGGACCATTTTCTTTCGGTCCCCACAAGGGGAAACTCAATTTTATAAAATCTGTGACAGCAATCAAAACACTAAAAATGCCAAAAGTGTTGGATTTTGCTTGGTGTCTTATGGTTAGGGTTAGGGCTGGGTAGGGGTTAAGGTTGTCATTGTTGGGATTAGGGTTTTGCCCATAGAAATAAATGAACGGTCTCCACGAAGATATGAGTACAGGTCTGTGTGTGTGTGTGTGTGTGTAAGGTTTGGGACTTGAGTGCATGGGGAAACCTGGGGAAGACAATAAGCATGAGATAAACACAATTCCCAAATCATCTATATCAACAGGGACTAGGGTTGCAAAATTCTAGGAATATTCTTGTTAATTCCCATACTTTCCCGTTAATTCCCATGGAAAGTTTCTAATGTGGAATATTTCCAAAATTCCCCAGCTTAACTTCCCATGGAACGGAAAGTTTCAGGAAAATTTCCAGAAATTTTCCAGCCCTTTGCAACCCTAACAGGGACCTTGTGACAGACATGCAACGTTGCAGTTTGTTAGCTTTGATGGAGAAAACAATGAACGGGGAGGCAATTTGCAAGTTTAACGCCTCCCTACTCTGTGAGACTGACTGACACCTACTGCATATTATATCCCAAAATGCCATTTATTTTTCTCAGTCCTGACTCAGACCTAAATCTAGCATCTGCGCATACTTGCATAATACCTTCTAGCACCACATGTTCGTACAGCCTACAAGCTAATTTTGAGAAAAAATAAACTCAGCTCAGATCTGATTAACCATTAACCATTGTTTTAATGTATATGCATATTCTAGCATGGAATTTACTGTGAATAACCAAGATAAAAGAAAAATGATCTCTATACAAATCAATCTTACCCTGATTTATAAAAGAGCAACGTCTCTGACAAACTAAAACTGGTTTTCTGTAATATTCAATTCAGTTTAATTAATTTTTATATAGCGCCTTTCTCAACAGAGTCACCCAGGCTGTTTTATATGGTTGTTATACACTCCTAAATCTTTCATACACAATAATTCAGTGAAAACAGGGAAAAGAAAAGAAAAAGAAATCCTGATTACAACAGAGGAGAGGAACCAAAAACTACCAAGCAGGGAGAAAAAAACCTCTGGGGGTTCAAGGTCAACTAAATATGTTTTTTTTTAAACACAAAATGAACCAGATAAAACAAGAAGAGCATATACTGTACTAAACACATCAAAGCACACTAAACCCGTGTGGAATCCCCGTGTCATCAGCTGTTTCTGGTTGTTGTAATTAGTCCTCTGTATTTCGTCCGCGTTTCAGTTTGTTTCCCCAGTCCAGTCATTGTATTGTCCGTCTGCGTTTTGCCTGCCTTACCTATAATTAAATCCCGTATTCCCTGATACCCTGACATCTGCGCCTTTGTCTCGGTTCCGTCCCCGCTCGGCACAACAATATTATTATAATTAAATATATTAATGGTTTATTATTAATATTAAAATAATTAATAAGAAATCTTTATTTTTAAATGTATTTTATTATATAATAATAATTACTGTTACTGTCCATAATTGTCTAAATGTATTTTTATTGTCTAAATATATGTATTCCGCTAGTGTAAACATACACGTGATAAAACATTTTAACGCAATTAACCCATCTGCAGCACAGAATGACTAAAAATCCCTGAAATGTCTTTGTCAACCCATTTCGGGCAGTTTTGGTGCGTTCCATTTGCCCTCGGAACTCGTATTCCGAGTCGGATTCCAAGTTTTGAAGCCGGAAGTGACAGCATGCATGCTCCCGTTTCTCGGAGATCCAAGAAATATCTCGGAGCAGCACAGAGGACCCCGAGTTCAGAATCCAAGATGGCTGCGCCTTTTATCAACAGAAGGGAAAGTTGCAGTTTTATACTGTTTAAGCACTACTTCTCATTTGTGGCTTATTAAATCGATCGCACACACTATACCGTCCAACTTATCTGTGGACGTGTTGCTACAGAGTTTTATACGTAAAGCACCGCGCGTAATGTGTTATCAACTGATATTGCTAACAATGGCAATTAACCGGGCTAGAATTGGATTTCATGATTAGTCGGATTATTTGTCTGATTTACGGTAGTTCGGGCTAATTGTAAGCGAACAAAGATAGAGACCATTTAAACTGAGGTACCTTAAATCCGACAAGTTGTCCGGCTAAGCAAAGAAACTTTTTATATGCGTCCATGATATTGTACTTCTGTGGCAGATGGAATGCATCCGACTCGTGTTCAAGATGTTCAATAAACAAGTGCATATACAGTATATTCCCTTTTTTCTTGAGTCTGTTTGCTCATGCAAAATGAAATGTGATTAATATAGATTAAAAATTTATGATATTTAATCGTGATTAATCGAAATGAATCCACAGCAACCCTGTGATTAATCTGATTAAAAATTATAATCGTTTGACAGCACTAATATATATATATATATATATACACACACACTAAACAAAATGGAGTTTACTTTTGCAAATATTAAATAAGAAACCTTGTTTTCTTGGACGGGATTTTTGTATTTTACCTCGCATATGTAAATACTTCTACTGGACATTTTAATTAAGTAGATGTTTTCCAACCCTTTAAAGATATAATTTTAATATAATACAGGTCATATTTACCAAATGAGATGTTACACACTTTATATTTCTTCAACAACAATGACAATTTATATACAACAATCTCAAACAAAGCAATCAATAAAGCAGTCAGAATAACAGCTAAACTGCCTGCAGAATCTCGTATATTTAACTACATGCTTCTCACAACTGTTATTATGGATTGGTGACTACCTACCGCGCAACGCAATGCAGTTACTTGAAATTAATCATCAAGATTTTTTGAAACACTTTTTAAAAATGCACCACTGTTAACTGAAAAAAGAATCCAGCAATAAGGGATTAATTTTTCTGCAACACCAAAAACCCTGAATAGATGATGGGGAAAAAAGAACAGAAATAGCTTCTGAGCTAACGTTCCTACCTATTTTCCCACAGAAAGACCAATAAAAATATTAGTGATATAATTTAATTGTAAATAAGCCTTCTTACCCCCTCGTGGTATACTTTATTCGCTCGCTTAAGCCTTATATCCAGGCTTAGGCTCATTTTTGTATTTAGTTAGCGCAGGCTAACTATAAGATCTTCCAAAACATTTGCGTGCAGTACTTCCGGACGTGTAAAGTCATGTGATTTGAATTTACCTCGACCACGTGACACAAACAGCTCACATGGCTCAATCCATTGATTCGGCTCGGTACTTCAGTTAAAGCTGAAAGATGGCTTTGGTACTGCGGAATTCATTGGTTATCATATTGTGCGTTCCTGAAATGATAGCACAATCAGTCATTTATACCTAATACGTGTGTCTCTTTCTGCATAGCTGTAAGTGTTCTGAGTTTGGACGGAGCATACGATTACTTGAATTTTAATTGTTGCCTATCGCAGCACGGTATTGTTAGGGTCACTATAGGTAAAACTGATGTAAATGTAATACGTTTACCTAGAGAGCTGCAAGCAACAATACCACAAAGTTAATATGGCTGCAGAAAATCTGTAGAAATAGTGGGGAAGTGAGAATGTAAAGTATGAATGTAAAGAAAATGTTTAATATAACCTAAGCAATTTATTTGTGTGTTTATTTAGTCCAGAAAAGCAAGAAGCAGGTGAAAACTAAAAATAGTAAATAGCATTTTATTTATATTGATGTATAGATGTTGACTACATAATAATAATTAATACATCAATCCGTAAGTAATGATGACTAGCCTCAACAAATAGCCTACGAAAAAGCAAATGTGGAACTACTGTTAGGCCTGTTTAGATGTGTATAAAACCGATGGCTGCAGTTTAATCAAACTGAAAAATGAAAAATTATTTAATTATAAAGAATGTAAAAGTATTCCAAAATTTTGAAACAATATGTCTTAACTATATAAAATGAGTGCATTCATAAAACATGTTTGATTTATTTTTCATTATCATTATTGTACTATACTGCAAACACTTTGTAATCAACAAATTATTATGCAACATAATATTAAGAACTTTGATGAAACACTTGAAAATTTGCAATGACTGGGATTTGAAATTGGGTACCAGGTGGTCTGGAAAACCAATGACAGTCTCCACTAAATCAACAGGAAAACCGTCATACACTGAGAGGGTGAATTGCATATCGAATATTTTCCTGAAATAGGTCCTCTGCACAGGAACTGCAGATAGAAATAGGCAAGAGCTTCTCACAGGGCAGCTAAAGAAGGGATAAACATGCTGACGTGGGTGGTAAAACAGAGGATGTAACATAACTCAATGAGTCATGAGAAGAGGCAAGACCAGTCAAGCTTCAAGAGCCAGATTGCATCAAAAAAGGGATCTGCTAGTAAGGAATTAAAGTTCCCCAACCAGAACACTTGGAGCACAGCAAAAACACTTGGCAGATTTGTTTTCCTGCCATAATGCTATTTTAAAAGCTAGTTGTCAAAAAAAATTATGTACTTTTGAAAACTTAACCTTTTCCACAAATTTAGAATATTATTGCTGTTTACATTAAATTTAGATAATTCATAACTGTTTAACTGACCTTAATTTTTCTCCTTCAGTATAATGGCCAGTCTACACTATTTTTCACCATTTATAGTGTAATTCAACATTTTTTTTGCTGACAATTGTCCTGTGCCATAATTTGGTATGCTGAAATATTGAAATTAGTTACATATACATCATATACCCTCTCCTTGATGATTTAAAATATTTGTGTAGAAACCTGCATATCAGAAGGAAAATGATGTTTTAATATCACCAGAATTGCAGTTGTAAACCTGTGTAACAAGTTTCAGCTTGTTGAGAAGAGCATGAAGATGTTAAAGGTCAAGGATAGAGGAGCAGTTTTTAAAAACTGATACCGAAAATTGATAGCACAGTATCTAGTAATAATCCAGAAAATAATCCAAAAAAGAAAACATGAAAGTCAAAAAAGTGAAGATAAATTATTTAATCTGCCGTTCTTATTCATATTTTCCATGCTATCACCCATTAAAATGGCAACCCTTAAGCTTGGAAACAGAAATGTATTCCTATGTAAAATACTACAATATATATTTTATATATACAGAGAAATAAATACATTTTTTCTCCATTAGTGTCATTTCATTGGATTTTGCCCCGCCTCTTTTCCAAACGTAAAATTGATTGGCAGTTTCTATGACAACTACATTGTCTGTTCCTGCGTCATTAGTTCATCCGGGAACTTCGTAGTTTGATTGACAGTTGTCATGGTAACACTTTCAGTCAGCCACCATTTTGTAAGTCGCTTTTTCTTTTTTCAAATAATTTACCTTCCCGCCGGAATAATAAATTCACTTTTTAATAGTAATGGCAGCGGCGTTGAAACCGACGCGCTGACCGGGTCGGTTTCGGAGGATTTGGAGGTTTATGGCGTAACGCGCTGTGTATGTGACTGGATTTAGGCGGCGCCAAGCGAAGTGACTGTCCGTGTCTCTGTGGTCTGCCGGGCCGGTTCGCTGCGCAGGTTTGGAACGCGCGCCATTTTGTGAAATTTACAAAAATCCCGTCCAAGAAAACAAGGTTTCTTATCGAGCGGCCTGCGATACAGAAGTACATGCTTCTGGGAAACTTTGATAAATAAGCTACGGCGGCGGTCGGCGACGGTTTGGCGCTTTTTTCGGCGCGGTAAAATCCGAGCGCGTGCTTTTTTTGCAGACTCTGATCGCCTATAAGTTTGTGTTTCGGCTTTGCTAGTTGACGGAGAGGCGCTGTTGATTTGGAAACTGAATTGACACCGAGTCGGAGAAGTGAATATCTGCTGCTTTGGCGGATCTGGGGGGGGGGACTCCTTGGAGGACGAGGCACGGTGGATTCTTTACTTGGCCCCCTGCGCTCCTGGGACTTTAAATGAAGATTGCTTCACAGATAGAAAGAGGGACGCGTACTGACAAAGGTGAGTTGTGCGGTGGTGTTTGTGTATGGCTTTTCTGGCTCTCTCCCTCCTTTCACGCCTAGCTAACTGGCTAGCCAGCTGGGCTGCGATGGTGCGTTAGCCGGGGGTTCCTAGTTATCCATATTCGTGCTTTTCTGCTTCACTCCGGAGCGGCGGGGCGGCGTATTTTCCAGTCGCCGAGACCCAGCGCTATCGGTGCTGCTGCAGATGTCCGTGTAGCTATTGTATGCGAGGCTGACGGTAGGCCACACCGTTAACTGGCGAGACAGGCGCCCAGTGTCGCGCCTAATGACGGCCAGTTTTTAGCAATCGAGCTAGCTTGGTACAGCCGAGCCAGCGTTGCTGGCCGTAGTGACAGGTCCTCTGGCCCCGACTCGGCTTACGGACGCGGCGGCTACCCGTGTAACATCAGTCGGCAGCACGGCGTCTCCTTTCTGGGCCACCCTAGTCAAACGCCCGCTGTTTGTAGGAGGCGGTGGGTCGTCAGGTGTAAGTTGGGGCACGGAAATAACAGTGCACGTGTCAATCTGGCTAATTAAAAAGATAATTGTGTATGACTGTAACGGCGGCTAATCGTCGCTAGCTCCGGTTGTCACCGTAGTAGCTCGTTAATAAGCTAATGGTACAATGTTTTAATGCGGCTCTAACCAGTCATCATTAATGTACTAGCAGCCTTGTTGCGGATCTGTCTAGCAGCATGTATATGTGTATATGTGTATATACATATGCATAAATATGTATGTTCAAAAACAATGCACACTGGTTTAATACGCCGGAGCGCCTTGATTTGATTTCTTAGTTAAGTTGCCCTGATAGATGGGTGGAAAATGAAGTTGCATTAATTTGACGGATGGCATTATTTTGCTTGGATAACCTTCTGTTATCTTGAAGAGAGAGCGAGCGTTAACTAGCGGGTAAACGGCACCCTAGCTGCCTTAGTGACTTCTGCATTTGATGACCAGTTAGCCAGGGAGATAGCTGGATTTTGGCTACGTCTGTTTAAATCGATTTGCAATGTATCATTCTGTTGGGTGTCGTTTATCAGAAAGTAAACGATAAGGAATTGTTAGGCTGTCTTGGCCGCATTTAAAACTGGTATGTGTGTCCAAGGTAGCTATCTGGCTAGCAGCATATCCGCAGTTTTTCAGTTTTGTAAGCGCATAAACCAAATGACGGCTGGTCAGAATAAGGCCTGCTTCGTGACTGTTTCTAGGCTAGGGATGTGCGTCTTTTTTCGCCTCCCATTATAGGTTTAATGTCACACCTTGTCTTGAAACAATGTAATCGTGCGTTATATCATGTCGCGAACAATCTTTCTACAATATACAGACATGATAAAATGTTCTTAAGTTGGCTGACGTGACATGTAACCAGTGATTTTTTTTGTCCCCCTCTCCACTCCCCCCTTTTTGGTTACCGTGAATGAGGCATTCGTAATGTCCAGTGCTAGCTAGTCAAGTGTCCGAATTAGAAGCTAGTCTCACCCCCATGTATCCAATAAAAACTATTAAATTGGCTTAAGGCTGAAGATGCAGTGGTAATGTTAAATCGGACGAAATATCATTATGTTCTGAGAATATTTGGTTCCGATGACATTGTTTCTAAAATGGCATTAAATCCTGTATGGATATTGCCAAAGTTTTTATTTACTTATAATAGTAGTTGTATTAATAGACATTTATGTTGAGATTTATGTAAAAAGGATAAGATGTAAGATTGTTCTGAAGATTGACATGAAGTAAGCCAACACTTTCGCTACTTTGTATAATGCCCTTCATGACTGTGGAAGTGACAGGTAAAACACAACACAACTGAACTATTTATGGTCTCTAATACAGGGGGCAATATATAATGATATTGCAAGTGGGCATGTACCGGCAATGTCAAAAAAAGTCATGGTGACCCATTTTGAGACCTAGTTTCAGAAAATGTGAAAATTGAAAGAAGAATGATCATTTTGAGTGTAATCCAGTGCGATATGTAATCACTGTCCTGTTTGTGTGCATTGTATTCCTAAGATGTTGGCCTCGTGTAGGATGAACTCTATTTTCATATGTATTCTTTAGCTAATGCAACCATCTTTTGCTTATGGTAATCAAAGGATACTTTTTAGTTTCACTGAGTTATTTCTCTGCTTGTGGTCTGCATGTGGGTTAAATGTTTGATTTTTCAATGTCCAAAACGGTAAAAAATACATTAATATTTATACTAGCAAACAGCTCCCTCATTTCTGTTTTTACATCC